ATGCAACAGCCCCAGCTGACAGCCTAGTGCTACTATTAGGCATTTCGAAAGTCTCTTGATCACGTATCGTACGTATTCTGGAGGGTGTTGAACTTAATCCATAAATTGAACGTAATGTAACTATGAAAAAATTAACAGACCTATCGGTGAATGAACCCCCACCTGTGTTGGCCCCTAAACAGCACATATGTACATCAGTGTTGCCAGAAAAAATTTAATTTGCAGCTAAAACGGTCGAAAAAAAGAGCTAAATAAACTTATATGACCTAAATAAAATAAAGAGCTAAATCTAGTTCCAAAAGCACCAAAATGGCAACACTGATAATGTACATGCGCAGTTCGCTGTGTTTGCGGAGTCTAGTCGAGTCTGCTTCAGTGGTTTCCACAAAGGCCATTTTAAATTAGGCGCGCATGAAGACAGAGTAGGTCGTTGTCACAGGGTAGTCCAATAGCAATGTAAATGGAATACGTAAAATGTATGTCGTACATACATACATATGTATCCCCAGCCGGTGCATACATTTAGGCAGTGTATTTTACTACAAATATATACATATGTGTATATATAGAACTTGAAAATAGGCAACAATCGACAATGGCAACATATTGGCGATTTGCCGATTTATTGCCGTAATGAGAAATTGGCAACATAATTTCCACTTATGAAATTAACCAAACACTATTAACAATAATGTGTGCAATTTAGTTAAATATCTAATAAATTTTATTTTCAAGAACATGGGTTTATACATACAAATTATTATGAAATAACAATTTAATTTTGATAAGATATTTATTAATAAAATTTCTTTTCTCCGAGCTTTCTGTTCTGCAAAAGAATCTATAACACCATCAAAGTTTAAAGATAAAGCCATAGAATTTTCAATAAACAGAAAAGCCAAGCTACGTAGTCCGTCTTGTCCCATAGAGTTTCTTAAATGGGTTTTTATTCATTTTGATTTCGAAAATGATCGTTCAGCTGTAGGCACAGGAATTGGAAGAACTAACAATAAGGCATTACATACTTCAGGAAAGCTGGACGACATAAAATAAAGTATATGTATATGGGCATTTCCAACGGTCACGAACTGTACTTTCGTACGCTTTTGGAGGAAGACATAAACTTTTATATTCGTTCGATTCTAATTTTTCAATATGTTAGCGACAAGCATGCGGTCGCGAACGTACGAATAATCAGGGCCATCACGGCCTGCCTGCTAAGAATCCGCTTTCGCTTCAAGAAGGCCTTATTTTAACATGGGCATGTCATTGGCGGTAAGCCCGCAGCATTACCTTCAAACGAAGGGAGAACGAAACGAAACGGAGAAAGGGAAAGCAAAACATAATTTTTATGCGAGACAAATTTCTACAGAAAGTAACTGCAGAAAAAGAATTTTTGGATATTCATTCTATATTTCAGCTGACTACGATGCAGCATTCTACTTTGCATTCCCAGTAATGCCTAAAAGAAGTGAAAAACTTCGAAGCCATTATAACGCTATGCCTTCTAGAACACGTTACCACTAAAAGCGATTACCGATTTTTTGCTGGGTACCAATTGAATGGCGAGAATGTAATTAATTTTTATGGCAAGTACCGGTAAATAGTATGCAGTACACAATACTCATATCTGTAATAAGAAAATTTTGAGTAATTTGTTCGGATTTTGCGGATTTTTCATTTGTTTTTGAGGAATTTGGTAATTTTTTTTTTGTGGCAACACTGATAAAGGCGGCTTAAAATCTATCTCAAATTTGTACTTTCGCTGTAGAAATTTTAGATCTATGTTATGTATTTAGTTTGATTATTGTCAATTAAATCTAATGCCTTGTATTGTATGCGCTCTACGTTTTTTGTTTTCAATCTCATAAATTGTGTATAATGACTTTTGTTAAAATTTCAAAATCAAAAGATATCAAAACATACTCTATGGGATTGTGAAATATTATTTTCTACTTTTTCGGTTTTTTATTTTATTTAATTTTTGTTTATTTTTTTAAATGAATTTATTTTTTAGTTTAGATTTTATTATTTTCAAATTTTTTTTTTTAAGTTAATTTCAATGATATTAGGTAGATAGATATTTAGTTGAGGGATGCACTGCGGCCATCTATTGCACTGCGGAGATCTATTGTGCCCTCTCGCTCCTCCCAGCACCTCGGTCATTCCTAACTCCCTTAGGTAATCCAGTGGATTGTAGGGTAACATCGGGTGCATGCGATTCGACTCCTGGTTTAGTGACCCCAGATATTTCTCTGGTCTCCTCGCCACTGCGTCGAGTTCGGGGATTATAAGCTCAGAAGTTTTAGCAGTAACGGTATGAATCAGTGGACCAGATCCCGAGTTTGTGTAGGTGACTACTCAATTTTCAAAGACCTGTTAGATAACTGTTAAAATTCTTAGTTTTTTCTTTGGGAGGTTAATAAGTTTTTCATATCTTTTCCTATTGGTTTACCCCTAATGGCTTCTTTGCCTGGCGATACCCAATAATTTGGTTCCGGTGCAGTTCTCTTTTTATTTTTTATTCTCTTCTAAGTCCTTCTTTGATTGTGTGGGGTCATACTGCCTGTCTGCTTCTTCATTTCCCTCTATGCCTTTGTGGCCTGGGACCCGTAAAAGGAAAACTCTGTTTTTGCTGCTAAGGAATTTAATCTTCCTACGCGCTCAAGAACCAGTGCAGACTTAATTTCATAAGAATGAAGAGCCTTGAGTGCGGCTTGGCTATCGCTTAGTATCAGGATTGCAATATCCTCTCTGGATATTAATCTCCGCACACAGACTGATGGCATGAACCTCTGCTTGAAATATACTACGGAGTCTGCCCATAGGGGCAGCGATCTTTGATCTTAGACCGGAGATGCCCGCCCCTATGCCCTCTGCTGTTTTTGAGCCGTCTGTGTTTGGTACATTATAGGGGGCAGCTGGGAGTATTTCTAGATGTTAGTGCCAGTCCAGCATGCCTTATTCCCTAATTCTATTTTGAAATTTCTTTCGAAGCTAATAACTCTGCCGACATCATCTTGTAGGAATTGGGTCATAGGGATCTGTTCCCGGAGAGATTTCATGTTACGAGATGATACTACCTTCTCTCTACCTCGCCCTTCTTTGGTGGTGTTTATTAGGCATCGTTTAGCTGCCTGCCCTAAAGAATAAACTCCATTGCTGCCGTGGGGCAGGTGCACATTGCGTCTGTGATGCACATACACGCGAGACGTTGTAGTTTCGTGAGTGAGCGCCTTACAGTCACTAGGTTGGCTCTTGAGCCCCAGGCCACCGCTCCATAGGTTATTATTGGTTTGACAATCATAGTATACATCCACATGAGTATCCGAGGACTGCATCCCCAGGTTTTACCAGCAAGGCGTTTGCATACCATAATTGCCCTTAGGAATTTGGATGTCATCAAGCCGACGTGTTTCTTCCATGAAAGTTTTGCGTCGAGCATAATGCCCAAATATCTTACTTTGGAAACAGTGTTGACCTCTGTGCCATCCAGGGTTATGGTTCTCATTCCCGGTAGGGTTATTCTTCTAGTGAATGGGACAATGACTGTTTTCGTTGGGTTTATATTGAGGGGCACACTTACAATGTTTAAAGTGATAAGGACATTCATTAAATAGCTTCTACCAGATGAATGTATGTATGCACATTAGGGTGCCCATCGAAAATGCTTTTTTTTTGGAAATTTCAAGACCCTGTCCCCTAATTTTATTTGTTTTTATGAGAAATATTATTGCCTATTTTTATAGATTTTTAAAGGTCATTAAGAGGTCAGAAAATACGATTTTGAAGATTTATGAGTTTTTTGAATGACTATTTTTGATTCGATTTCAAAGATCGAATATGCTCTGGAAAGAGGATATACATATAGGCCTTTAAAATGGTATATAATTATCTGTTTGCTCCATATAAAAAAAACCGCGTATGTTCGATTTCGTATGGGGCTACTTAAAATGTCCATTTTATTGTACTAAAATTTAATGGGCCACAATAATGCGCACTCAGAAAAAGAAGCAAAATCTAATTAAAAATCTCGAAATGTTTACGAAAGTTTGTTGAATTAAAATATTGCACAAAATTTGAAATTGGAATTTATACAGGTTTTGTAAAAGAATAAATCGTATAGTTTTTGCAAAATAAGTAAAATTAAATTATAAAAAATTAATAGGGTTGGCGCATAATTGTTATAAGCACTATTTAAATTAGCTGTAAAATAAATATTTTTTTTGTTTTTATTTCAAATTCTTAAATATTCATTTATTCAGCAAATTGTTATACAATATTTTTATAATTATACAAATAAAGTAAATTTAAATATACGATATGTATTTATGTATTTCAAACACCAACTTAAAGTATGCACAATGTAACGGTACAATAAATTTGATCAAACACATACATACATACATATAATTATTGTTCATATGTGTGCATGTATACTTTTGTTAAATTTTATTTTATTTTATTTTATTGTTTTTCAGATATATTAATATATGTAAATTTATTTAAATGTAAGCACGTAGACTTTTTGCAAATTCAACAAAAATTTAATAATTTTATATCAAAATTGGATATGAAACGATATACAGTAAGAATAATATATTTATAGATACAATAATAAACATAGGTATAGAAATAAAACAGTTAAAAAATAATGCATTTGTAGAAAAAAATTTAAATAAAAATTAAGATTTTTACATGAAAGAGAAATATATGTATCTATGTATATACTATGGTATGTTGGATACGCAGCAAGGTTTGACAAGGAGAGAGCATTTCTAAAATTTCGTTTATTTCTTTTAGTCACTACTTCATACAAACTTTGCTTATGCTTTTCGTTTTTAGTTTTCATTTTGGAAATTTGGCACTTTACACAAGCAAAGTATTTGCATGCCATAAGCTGGCGATAAGCCGCAGGTAAGATTTTAATATCTTTAAACAAAACACTAATCACTGAAAGTGTTTTCTTCTCAAGTACACAACGATATGATTGGATTTACTTTCTTTTAAACGCACACAACTGTTTGAAGATTCGGTTTTTGTTATTCGTTATAAATAGTTTTCACGATGCTGTTTCCAAGTAAATTAACGGGCATCAAAATTAATTTTTATTCACAAATTTGTAACGGAATGACGGTAAATAATGTTGTCAAAGTTGCGAAATAATATTAGTTTTATAGAGAGCATATTTTTAATGAATTTTCAGCTGGCATACAGTGGTTAAGACCATGTTGTTAACAATATTTTCTCGGCAACAATGTTGCTTGCAGCCGACGTTGTTAGATTATTAGTATTTCTTGCGAAATAACGCTATCAAGATTTGAAAAAATTTAAATATAAATCCTTCGCAACATTTCCGTGAAAACTAAATATTGCGCAGCGAATGTTAGTTTGGGCGACATGGTGCCGGAAATTATAATTCGGTTTAAATTTTTCGTGGTCGTAGTTTTTATAAGTTCATGTTGCACACAATTACGGCCAAAATATAGTACGAAATAAATGTTGCGTAACAATAGAGAAACATTTACAATGTCTCCAGCATATCGTCGGTGATAAATGACGTGTCATCTCTGTATCGCTTCTGTTAATCGTTCATCTTTTCAACGAACAGTTGACAGTTTACTAATAGACAGGGTACTAATTGACATAGGTGCCTGTCACACCATCATTACGGTTCGCCATCCAAATATAAGGATCTTGATATTTATTGAAGGTGTAGCATCAAATATTGATACATCGTGATACGGATAGTAAAATATCTAGGAATCCGGATCACAGATCGCGGATCGCGAAATAAATATTGAAGTTGTAGCATATTTAAAACGTGATCCATACATTTCGTGAGTACAACTTGTACTCTCATAATGCGAACATCGCAAACGTATTTGTTCTTGGCGCTTAAAATTTTTCAAAGTAAATTTAAAGCATTTAAATTAACATTGCAAATTTTTAAAGAATTATATATAATAATGCATTCCATTACCTGTAAATTATTGGTAAAAAATAATTTTTTTTTGCGCCATAATAAGCGTTCACCACAAGAACTATGCAAATACTGACGCGATAAATATTGAACGTTTAGCACACACTCACAATTCATCAATATTTTAAGATCCATCAATCGCGACCCGTATTGATCGTGTAACAGGCGCCATAGACCGTATTGCAGTATCACCGACAATATACGATCTAATCGAAAAGTGCCTGTGGGTTTAATTTTGCTAGGATGCACATTTTGCTTGAATTGAATTTTGGAAATCGATTAGCGAGTTGTTACAAAAAGGACCAGAGAAAAAGTTTAGAAACTTTTAAGCTTCCCATTAACGTTACTACGCAGATAATTTGTTTCTCTGTTCTAATATTTACATCATGAAAACCTCTATTACTTAAGTATACATTACATATGTAAATCCTAAACTCGTATTGCAACGAACGCCCTCAAGTCGAAAATAACCACTTCATTCCCCTTGCTGTTGTTGCTGTCCCAGCTCGGCTAATGGCTGTTGATAGTTGCATACAATTTTGGCCGCATCATTCATCATTTTTGCTGTTGAACGCACCAAGAACATCAAATGGCATTCATCGTAGACAGTTAGCTCGACACGCGTACGCACTAGACCGTGTAGAACCGTGGCACGTTCTAGATCCAACCAACGTTGCAATGCAAGTTCACGTTCTTTAGTCGTACCTGAAAGCACCACATCTGATGGACCCCAAAGCACAAATTCCAGTACCGATTTGGATTTTGATAGCGATTCGGCGCGTTCTTGCAACAATATATCGGCAACAATGGGCGTAACCTTAGTTGGCGGCAGCAGTTCGGTGAGCGCGATGTGTGCGCATTTGCAGAGTGTACCCATGGGTTCGTCCTCGTCATTGTTGTTGCTGTAAATACAAAATTAATTCAGGCAAATGTTTACCAACATCAGTGCTCTACTAAAAATGTATTACTCACCCTTGTAACACGCAGAGACGTGCCTGCGCATCCTTATTCTCCACATCCTTGGATAGAACTACATTCGATAAGCTCAGCGGCATCTCCTCGATCGCTTTGGCCTGCAAATTCTTCATGCCATTCACCAGCTGCAGCATTATAAAAGCCACTTCACGTGTCATGACATCGTCGAATGCTGGCATGCCCAGCATTGTAGCGCTATCCCCGGCTGCCTCCAACGAACTGCTACCACACTTCTCTAACGAGGACTCTTCGTTCAAAGTGCTCAGATTTTGCACAGATACCACATTCCGTAATGTATTTATGGTAGCGCTATCCTTCAATCCACTAGCAGCCAAATTCGGTATGGAACCACGGAAATTGAAGTTGCTTTTGTCCAACACCTGCGATTTGCCTTTGAGTATGGCGCCGATCGATTGTAGCGTGTCCAATTGCAAGCGTGGCAGTACCGAAATCGTAGCCTGTAACAAGGTCACAGCTGTCGAGGGCATTAACGGCAAGTGATAGCTGGGCACCAAATCACAGAATTCCGTAATTGGATTAAGTACACCACAGACGCCACCCGATAGCTGATTCAATTCACCGCCAACACCTGAAAGCTGATTACAGTCTGCCGAAAGCGCCAAGGTGACGGGCGCTGTGGTCCAGAGTGCCGCATGGAAGGCTTTCTTGCCGACAACAAATGCTTGCGCGCCATCCAGTATGGTGAAATCCTCAAAGCGTAAATTAATGGCGTTGGCTAGGGGACGCAGTGCGGGTGGAATGACGGGTGTCTGTTGGAGCTGTATATGGGAAGATCAGAATTACATGCGTATTTATAAACTGTATTGATTTCGGGCATTAAGACACATTGGGCGCTACACACCTGATCGAGCACCTGTGCTAAGGCTTCGTGATTTGCCACGACCACTGCGGTGTAATTGTCCTCTATGGTTTTGTGTACAACACTGCGACCTTTGCGCATGCGCAAACGATTTGTAGCCTTTGCACGATGTTTGATGGCCTGCAAAAGGTTTGAACAGTAGGATGTATAAGTACATACATATTATGTGTTTGTATATGGGACATTCCATACAATATTTACACCTCAATATTTTTTTGGGGTGCAATTTATTTTTTTTACATTCGTTAAACAGTGCTTGATTAATGCGAATATTTACGATAAATGAGTGACATGTGCCACTGCTCAGTAATAAGAGTTGCCTACCTAGATTTTCTGGTAAACGACACAATTGTGGATTGGTAACAAGAAATCATAGTACATAAGTCGATTTTCCACAGAAAATATGGTTATTAATCAACCTAAACCGCCATATAACTAAAAAGCATGCAATTTTGAATTGTGTCGGTAATGCAGGGGGCCATCGATATGTATTTACTTAAATATAAATATTATTTTATCACCGATATCATTACATTTCTATGTGTATATAGCAAACTTTCACTTACCGATGGTATGCCCCATACACTATCATTAATATCGGTAGCTACATCACCGCCTGCCTCGCTGCCATAATAACTGTACGGCGCATAGATTTCGAATTCGCCAACCTCACTGCCACAATATGAAGCTGAAATAATGCGTGGAATGTTGGCTGCGCGGAAAGCGAAGGAAAATAAGGCAGTAAGTAGGCAGTTAAAATAACAGTAAACGTAAATATGTAAATTGAACTTGAAAATGCCAAATTTACCTAAACTGTTGTTCAACCCAAAGTTACGGCCGGGGCCATATTCGCTGCGTGTATAGCTCGCCACCGACATTGTGTCTGAGTACAGGTTGCTATTGTTGTTATTGTTCCGACGTGGCGGCAACAAACGTTGGCCGGGCGACAAATCGACGGAGCGCGTCGGCGGCAACGGTGGCGAAGATGGACTCTTGACCATTTCATACATATTCTCATAGTCGCGCTTGTCCTTCAAGTAGCTGTCGATTGTACTGTTAATTTTACGTACCGAATCCTTCAAGCTGGTTGGGCGCCCTTCATTGTGCTGGTTGAGTGAGGCAGCGGCACCACCATTCATTGCTGTTGTGTTGTTACTCAGTGCATTGTTGGCTGCGCGATTTTCAAAAATTTCCAATTTATTGGCGATAGCAATTTTTGGGTCACTTTTGCGACGTTCAAAGGTACTCGTACGGCTACCGGTCGGTGGTTTGCCATCGCCCGCTGGCGTTGTGGGCGTGACAGCTCTATCGGCCGGTGAGAGTTGTGGACTCAATGTGGGTAAATTGTTTGCGTTTGAATTTCTCTTGCCGCTGTTGCTGTTGTTAATGTTGTTGACGACGGTATTGATTGCGGTTGCACCATTGGGATTGGTTGAAGTATGCTTGTGGTTGTTGTTGCTAGTGTTGGAGCTGTTGTGTTCGAACGATACATTATCACCGTTTGACGAGCAAATCGAGATAGTATCGGCGTTGTCACTACGTGCTCCGGCGTGTCGTTTACGTGCCAATTCCAATTGTGCTTCACGCTCCCGCATGCTAGCCGTACGTTCGGGCTTGCGCGGTGCAATCGATGAGCGAATTTCGCCTGCAAATATAAAAAAAAAAATAACGTAGTATATTGATGAAATTGAATAATTTTTAAATTTAAGTAAATTTAAATCTTTTCTGCGTTTAAAACGAACTATTTAATTAAAAAAAAACAATTCGATTTAGATAACAGTTATAAATTGCTTTTACTTCTTGTGGTGGTAACCTTAATCTGTGCACTACTGTATGGCGTACATAAGTTATCTTCCATTGGGTGGGGGTCAAGGCTGTTGGTATTGCTCCATACGTGGAGTAACGCTCTGAGTGCAGAGCTGATAGTTCCAGGCCAACCACACCTGTAATTCCGAGTGTCGTCTGTACTGTGGGATGTATGGCCAAATACGGTACTGTGTCTTATAACTGTGGCCTTCATATACATGACGCGCTCTTGTTGTAAGCAGTCTGACTCGGAATAATGGGATAATGTCCCAGCGGACTTACTTTACCCCATATTAGTGGCAACAACTAATGGAAAACTTAAACAATATCTTAAATCAAAAGCTAGATGAAGCTGTATGACGTATACATGATCGACGATAGTACTGTCCGGGATGAAAGCATTGAAAAATTGCTATTGGATATCTAGCCAGGCGATGAGCAGAGGCTCTAAAAATGCAAAATCAATAAATTTTTATATAAATTTCTTAATATCTTTATTTAATAATATCGGAATTATAGGAAAAATTATATGCTTTTTTAAATCATTAATTATGTTGGGGAGTACTTCGATATGTATGTAGATACCATCATTTCTAGTTGAGGAATCTTTTTTATAAGCAATTATTTTATATCCAGGGTTTCAGGCTAAAATCCTTTAAAGTATTTTTGAGTTATTGATATTGATACAGACGACAAACCTTGTTGCCAACATAAAACAAAATTAAAATGACTTTAATTTTTGCAAACCAACACCCAAACTTTGACTACGAAAATTGCAAATAATGAAGATTTTATGTATTTACATATATACGTACATATATGCCATACTAAATTTTTCATATATTTTTAATAAAAAGATAAGTAGTTCATTAAACAGCAAAAACTATAAGAATACATTTTTTTAATTTCATACAGAGCTCGAAATTACCAGGAAATTAAAAATTTTTCAACTCTATTTCTTCGCAAAATTTTGAGTATGCAGTTATACCCATTAAATTTTAGTACAATAAAGTGCAAGTTTCAAGACGCAAAAATTTACAGTTGATTGAATAAAAATTTGGTACGAAAAACTGACTGTATACAAAATACACTTTTACAAGCTTTTGCTTAGAATTAAAAGCCTCTTAGTGATAACGAATCGGTATCAATGAGTATAATGAGACAGTCAAACCCTTTCTATGCGAGGTGTCTATTAGTTTAAGGAATGACAATGTACTCGTATAAAGAATTTAAAAGATTTAAATAACGTAGCATCTTTAATCTAGACACGTTGGTCATTGTTGAAATAGAATTAATAAAAAAAAAAAGATTTTATGGCTCTTTCATGGTAAATTATTCAAAAAAGTTCCAAGCTAAACTTCTTTTAAATGATTTGCTCTACATTTCACAACATAGCACATACTTATTTAACACATTTTTTTTTTGTATTGATTCGATATTTAATTTATTTAAAAAATAACAATGTAGCTTTTTGTTAACGACTTATTAGTAAATACCCATTGTGCCCATTGAGCACAATGCAAAAGAAAGCGCGTAGAGAACAAAATATAACATGTACATTAGAGTGGTCCAAAAACAGTAAAAAAATATAAAATAATCAAAATTTTAACAGGAGAAAAATTATAAAAACTAACAGGATCTGTGCTAAAGTCTTGCAGTTTTGCTAATGCTTGTTCTTTTACAAACAAATCAAGTTACTAATGAAACAAATCGATGGATAAATAAAGAACGAGTGGTCAAATGGAAATGCGCAAAGGTTTTTTGTATGAAAAATGAGCAGGAAATACTGTTACTCATACGCCATGTATGCACGCTTTAATGCTCATATTTCATAAAAAAAAATCGTTACGCATTTTCATTTCACTACTCACTCATTACTACTACTATGTATGTATGTATATTAGTATGTTTATTTGCATAGCTGATTTCATTAACCTTGTCTTAACGGCACAAAGCCAAATGCCACAGCTGGCAAGTACATCATTTACGACATGTACTCCCAGTGGCACAGTGTTGGCCAAGAATCATTAAACTTGAATTAGCCAAGTTGCTGCAGAAACACGAAGCACACTCTGACAGCAGCAGCAACCGTACCGGTAAAATAGAATGCCGGACAAGTTAAGTAAAAAAATACATACATACAAATACATAAATAAGACTCAAACCAACTATTCGACCAGCAAACAAGTCAAACGGCATAATTGCAATTGTGACCCAAATCCGAACCAAACAAGTACGGATGCGAGCTTTGGCTCACAAACACTCGCAAATTTATTCATGCACCTACATACATACATACATACATACATACTACTTATGCAACAGTTGGTAATAGCAAGAATATAACAAATTATGTTGCGGTAGCAAAACGATTGAGAATATGGGGGGATTAAGATGCGCTATAGGATTTGTTGATGTAGTAAGCTTCTGACCAACTGAATGGGCGACTCGACGACTTGATTGTTCGACCGCAACATTGGCGGTAAATGGAAGCGGCACTCAGAGGTCGAGTGCTGCACAGGTGTGCGAGCTTAAGCATGCACAAATTTGTGGCTAAATGTATGTATGTTTAGTTATATATGTACATATGTTCATATGTATGTATGTACATTAGGATGCCTCAGAAAAGCGATATAATTTTATTTTCTTCACGTTGTTACTACTTAAGTTTACCAGTACCAGTTGCCAGTACCACTTAGTTTATAGCTTTTCTTCCAGAAAACTCCTAAGCGTTTTTTTTGAACAGGATGGACACCGAAAAATTATCGGTTAGATCTGAGATAATTAACCGACTTCCAAAAAAGGGGGAGGTTATCAGTTCGTCGGAATATTTTTTTTTTTGGTTTTTTTGTTTTTTGTTTTTTATCTATGTTACCGCATAACTTTGGACCACGTCAACCGATTTCGAATATACATACATTTGCAGTAAAAATTTGCACATCAGCTTGCTCCATTCTAACTTAAAGAACAACTTTTGATATGTGCGTAATCATAGATACTTTCAAGTGCATATACATATACATTCATTTGTATGAAGTATGGACCCTGCAGGGAAACCCCGAACTGGTGAACCAAATTTGTATTTCCGTACTAGATCTTTATCCCCACCAGTCCAAAATCGGCGAAAAGTGGTACTTTTAAAAACTAATTTTTTCAGTTTTTTTCACTAGAAATCTATATCTAAAGTGACGAATTTAGAAATGGTTCGGAACTATAGAAAACGGGATGCAGAACGAACTAGATCTTATTTGTCGAATTTAGAACTAGTTCGAAACTATCGAATAAGGGATGCAGCGGGGGGCTTGTTTAGTTTACATAGATATGTGTTCGGCGGCTTTTTCGTTCAAATACGCTTCTATTCTGTGCTTCGCACATGCTTTTTCATAGCTTGGTAATACAAAACTAAAATTTGTGTTAACATTTCAACATCTTGAGACCGTCTGGAATCTAAGAAATAACAGCGAGCACCTCTGCAAAGTCAGCTACAGCTAAAGGTTTGTAAACGTACATTTCTTACAATCATTCAAACAAATTTAATTTCAAATTGAAAACACATTTCTTCCAAAATAACTTAAAATCGCACACACGGAAGAACCAAAAAGATTGAAAAATCATGATACTTTTTTCTTTCGTCTGTCGATTTTAGAGCTGGTTCGGAACTATAGAATTTAGGACTAGTTCGGAACTTTCGAAAAAGGGATGCAGCGAGGGGCAATTGACACTTCCTAGGACATCGCCATGTTAAATACGCCAGTTGCTTGCATGCAAAAGAGATTTATCGCGAACCAGTACTGGGTCTAAATGTACTAGAAGCGCCCCAGTTCAGAACTAGAGATTTTCCCCACAGGGGGAGTATACAAAAGAACCAAAATTTGTATGCGCGTGTTAGCTTTAGCATGTATGTACACTTAACCCAGTTAATCCAACAGTCAGCCACACGTTTTACAGTTATATTTGATGGAAATAAGCGGTTATACATACATACATTGGTAATTTTTTTTTTTTATCAACTAGCATTTATTATTGATGCTCCTGAATAAGTAAGAGGCATGACATTCTTGCCGCATTTCATTCGTTTTACGTATTTTTGGATGATTACGACTTCAATGATCGATCCATGCTTATTCATTGTTTGTATGTATGGTACCTCTATGAAAACATATACAATGTACATACATACGTACAGAAGATTTTTATTCTCCTTTTCACATATCGAATCGCATACCTACTGGTTTTCTTTTCGTTGCTACTTCTTGTTATTTTCACCAGTTATATATATATATATATAGGTAAATGGGTCGCTGACGAGGTGCGGTGACCGTGCCGTTGGTACATTACTTCACATGAATTTGAATTGGGATGGCCATAGTAAGTGCTTTTTACTTTTATCATCTTGAAGGTCGTACGTCTTTGAGCTACTCACTTAGGTATCTAGATATTGAGCTTTTGGAACGTGACATGTTTTTTCGGAATAGATTTACTTTAGTGGCGGCTGGCTTCGCATTGTTTGACTGTACGCCCATCGGCTTTGGTATGCCAAGGAGTGGACGTTTTTGCCAATGATAAGTTAAGAATGCTGAGCACAGTTATAGCTAAATATTCTTAATTTCAAGTGGCATGATTGATTCGATGTGCTATTTTAACTTTTATTTTTGTATTCCTTTGCAACGGGTAGTGGAGTGGAACATGCATTTTTGGCATTTAAAAAGTGGACATAAATATTTGACCATTTAAAAACTGGACATATATGTTTGGTAATCTAATAACTGGAAATAACTATTTAGCCATTCAAATATAAACTTGAAACTTTCGAAAACAAAACATAAATTTTATAATAATAACGGATAATAACTCTACATATATTTTAGATATGTAAAAACTGGACATAATTATTGGGTCATTTGAAAACTGGACATAAATTTTGGGCACTTCTTGAAAAAATGTTGTCATTTGAAAAATGGACATAACTTTCGGGTATTTAAAAACTAGCCATCGATTTTTGGTGATTTAAAAACTGAACATAAATATTTATGTATAAAAACTGAACATCGATTTTTGGGAACTTAAAACTTAACCAAATTCTGAACATGAATTGTTGGTATTTAAACTTTGTTAAAAGCTTTGGGTCATTTACAAAATAGGCATACATTTCAGGCATTTAAAAACTCGGCCCGATTACTTTGTTATATGTGGACATTAATTTTTGGTAATTTAAAAACTTTATGAAAAAAAGCATACGTTTTAAAAATGGTCAAACATTTTTGGTATTTTAAAAACTCAATTACATGTATATATACTTAGTTATCTTTCGTTTGCAATGCAATTTCTGAAAAAGGCGATGATAGATTTTCTTCAAAGTCTCGGAGAATGTTACTAGTGGACGAAATTCTTAAATTATTTTACCTTTACTGTTCAATGTTAATTACTTTTGAGTTCAAGAAGAATTTTCTTCAGTAAAACTTTGTCACATGCGACATTTGCCAACAATTTTGCGTTGTATGAGATACGAAATAATGTGATAAAAATTAGTATTAAATTAAAGATACTTTTTACCCAATATCCTGAAAATTAAAGGATATACATATACAAAAATCAATATCGACATTTGACTGCATTATTAACTGAATTTGTACAAAATTACTGATACAATTTTAGTCTATATCTCGAAAACTAAAGGGGATATACAGAAACTGATGGGACCACTTTCTACATTTCAAAAGTCGTTGCTACTTTTTGTATGCCCATATTTTTGTATATACATATGACATTATCCAACTTTTCATTATCTAGTTTTGTCATAATTATGAATGGCTTATCCATAGTTCATTTCCACCAAACCTTAACTCCAGTTTAAGCCTATTTGAAAAAGGAGATTACACTTCGAAGGGCCTAAATAATTGCTCATATTAAGTACAAGAAAACGAAGGTTAAAAAGAAAATGGTAAGAAACAAACCTTGTCGATCAGCCCATGTAAAACTTCTTGAACTTATCTCAGCTCTTAACTGCTTTTGTGGAAATGGACAATTAGGTTTTTATTTTCTGTGTTAACAACCTACCACGTTTCGCTTTAGCCATGACTCTCGAAGAGCCTTAACATAATTGTAAAACACATTACAAGCAAACTGGCAGCACTTACCTAAATTGGCATAAACATTGTCCGACTTGCATTTCATAGAGCCACCTGCCTCGCTCGCAGTGATTGCGCCAGCCTTCCGACCGTTGGGTGCATCTGTCACCGTCATCGATATGGCATTCAGTCCAATGATTGCCTGCTTCCGGCGCAGTTCTGCACTCTTTGGTGGCGGCGGACGTGCCGGCTTGTTTAGCTCGTGCGAACGTTGTGCGTCTATGTTGCGCAGTGGCGGTGCCGGTGGCTTAGCCGTCACCACGGCCACCGTTTGGACTGCTACCGCATCATTGGTCTTCGTTATGTCTTTGACCACTTCCACTGCTGTCGGATTAATGTCGATCGGATGGATGATCACTAAGCGTGGCTTACCCACGACACCCGCCTCCTCACCCGTACAAATCTCCGAGTAAATGCTGTCCTTCTTGTGCAGATTGTCTGTCGTTTTGCTGGCACCCATGCGCAAAAATTTCTTGATCGAAAATTTCGTTTTGGTCTTTTGTGGCGGCGTTTGCTGCGGTTGCTGTTGCTGTTGCTGTTGCTGAGGCGTCAACTTTTTGTCACTTGTCGGCGGCAATGTTGGCAGATTCACCGTCGTATTTGTGTGTGTCAGATCGGTCAGACACTCCTCGGATAATGACAGGTTCTTGTGATTCTTTGGCAATGGCTCTGGTGTGAGCGACTGCTTGAGGCTAAGCGATGATGTGGCCGTTTGTAGCTGCATGTTCTTTAGCGCATTGCTGCGTTGCGTAACGAATGTATTGAGGCTGCGGAACTTGGGATTGACAGTGGCGCGTTCACGTTTATCCTTCTCCCGTATCACCGGCGAAGAGGCGTTTTTGGCATTGTTCGGATTATTGTTGTGTGTAGCGTTCGTTGTAGTCAGTGTTGCCCTGCGCGTGTAAACGCCTGCTGGGTTCGATACTGCTGCGGCGATGATGGGGCAGCCTGTGGTGGTTTTGCTTGCAGCTGATGTAGGTGTTTGTTCACTGGATGACTGACAACTCGCGGTGGCAGACTTTTCAGTTTCGGCGCGATCGTTTGTTTTTTTTCACATCAACGCTACAATCGTTATTTGATTTGGACTCTTTTTGAGTTTGGGCGGAAGGCGACGGCGCTGACTGTTGTTCTGCGCTTGCGACTTTTTTAGAAATCGTCTCTTCCACTGGCACATCGTTGGATGAGCCGCGTGTCTGATTAAATTCTAGTGCAACATTGTAGTCACGTTCGGGTGTTGGTGGTGCGCTCGTTTTCTGTTCGGGCGGTGGATTTGGCGCTCTGCCCTTCTTTAACTTGGCATCATCTTTCAATGCGTCTGGCGTCACTGAGCTCAAGTTCAGGTTTTCGTTAGATTTTGACATGACCATGTGTAATTGATTGATGACCTGCTGCTCGGCACTTGTCGGAGTACGTTTGCCAACAAATGCCTTGAGCGGCGTACAGGTTGGTGACACCACCGGTTTTGCTGGCAGGTCAGGTTTCTTCAACAAAATGGGCGGATGCTGTTTCTGCAGTCCATGTAGAAATGAGGGACGCGCATCAATTATTTTCGTAGGTGGTGGCGATTTAGGCAATGCAGGCAGCGGTTGTGGTTGCTGCTGTGGCTGTGACTGTTGCTGAGTCGTATTTGTCTCTTTGTTTTCCAAACTGCCATCTGGATCCGCGCTACCATCCGGCTCACCATGCAATTCTCTGCTCTTATCTAAAATAAATGCAGTCTTCGCTGTAGCCACTGTAGCAGCTTTTGGTTTTGTTGTGTTGGTTTGATTGGCCACTTGTATATCCTCATAGTCTGAGTTATTGGTGCTAACACTCAGCTTCTTCTCAACACGCACGCGTTCTTTTTCGGCGCCGCAGTTCTTGTATTCATTGCCAATGCTGATGCCTATGCCAGAGTCCGATTCGCTGCGAATCATATTGTACGAGGTTTCCTCATCACTGCTGCCATCAAAACTGCTGCCCGTCGAGTCGAGCGCGTCGTCCGAGCTACACTTGGTCACAATTATGCCATCAGATGTTATTTTGCTGGTCATAAAGTTGCCTTCGTGCAGATTATACGAGGCAGCACGCGTCTTCGACGACAGCAGCATGTCCGTTATGTACTGGGAGCTGGTGAAGATGGAAGAATCATTGTTGCTAGTTGCACTCTTATTGCACTTATTCTCCGCTGCTGGCACTGTGGTCGTAGATCCAATAATGGCCACAGCTGGTTTATCTTGTAAATCACATTTGCCGTCTGGCAGATTCTCGTAGCTTATTTGCGTTTCGACAACATCGTAGTACGCCGAGATGCCATTCTCGTTGTCCGAACAATTGCTATCGCTGTCCGAGTATTTATGGAAGACACTTATTTTGGGTTTGGCATGATCCTTTGTAATAGGTGGATTGCGTGCGATCGGCTTCTTAAGCTCAGGAAATGGTTTATTCTCCATAGTATCGCTCAAGCTGCTAATCTCGAATTTAATCTTCGACGTTGTGGTAGCTGTCGTTACTGTGCTTATACCATTTGTGTTGTTGTTTGTGCTATTGTTGCTGCTGCTGTTGTTCGCAGTGTTGGTGCTCACCTCCATTTCGCTTGCCAGTTTCTTGCATTCGCTCTGCTTCTTTTCGAGTGTCTCGGAGATTTCGTCCAGCAGCGATTTTTCCATGGCCCGTTCGATGGGCGGACTATTCTTGCCATCGCTATCGCTCGATGCCAATGCTTCTTGTTTCGCCTGTCCGCTCAACAAACTGCTTGCGCTGGAAGCCATGTAAGACGTTACTGTTTTCGTTGCTGTTGCTGTTGCTGTTGCTGCAGCTGCAGTTGTTATCTTTGTTGCGGTCGTCGTCGTTGGAGATGCCGATGCCGATGCCGATGCCGATGCTGTTGCAGTCGCTGGCTTCTTCATTGACTTAACAATCGTCGCACAGTGCTTTACCACCGCCGGTTCGCTTGGTTCATTTACTTTCGTCTCAAATTTGGCCTTCACTGTTGTGGCGGTAATCGAAGGCGCTGTCTTGGCGGAATCAGTTGTGGCTGTGGCTCCAAATGGCATTACATTTATCTTGAGCGTTTGCTTTTTACCCTCCTTGTCGACTTGTGGTGCACCAAGCTTTAGCGCGGCAAACGAACGCTTAATGTTTTCCTGCGGATCGCCCAGCAAGTTGCCGTTGTTCATATTGAAGTCGGTGTTGGCGCGAGTGATGCGCTTCAGCTCGAGTGTCTCCTCGTCGTCGGTGCTGGTGGCGGCATTGTCGTCGCGTTCATTGCCGATATTCATGAAATCATGATCATCATCGTCATCGGAATCATTGTCGGACCATTCGCCACCGATGCCGATGACTTCTGAGATATTTTTCGGAAAGGATACCTTATGCGATTTACCTTTGCTGGTTTTCGATTTAAGCGAAGCAAAGGATTTTTTCATGATGCTCTTTGCAGGTGATTTATATTTGTTTGGGTAATCAGTCTTTTTGCTGTCCAAATCGTTTTTGGACATTAAATTAGAGGCGAACTTCGTTCTATCCATGGCGCTAGAGTATTTAGATGTGTATGTGGAATTACCGGGCTTGTGCTCGTCTTTGGATTTAAAGCAGTTAGAACAGAGGTCTTTCTTCCACGCGTTCTGCGTGAAGTGTGGACATATCGAAGAGGACATGTTGTGGTTGAGGATGACGCTATTCGTTTGTGTGTGTGGATGTATGGACGTGCTACGCGAGGAGGTGGTACTTAAGACAGTGAAAACGGTGTGGCCATAGTCTGAAATTAGCAAAGAAATACAAGTTTCTTATTTAAATATTTAATACAAATGCAGTTCTAAGTTAAAGTACAAACGTTTAACATATATTTAGTAGATAAATTTAAATTTTTTTTTGAAAATCTATAGTTAACTTCCGAAAGGTTTGGACGCGCTTCAATTGCTTAACTGGATATATGTTTCAGTCAAGTTAGATTGAAACATTGATCTCTCTAATGATTAACTATCAAAATCTATCGTCGTTAAAATTCGTAAATTGAATACATATTTGCAAATGTATGCGATTTCTAAATTATCGAATTGAAAATTCTC